TTTTACTTTGTGTTAATGTATTCTAAATCCATTTTTAAGATGCACTAGAGTATCATAAAATAACCTAGATAAATGTTACTTTAGGTCGTGTACGAGTTCGAGTAAATTAATGGTAAATTGAGGGAAATAGTAAATTATGCAGGTATGGCAGCGAATGTTAATATTTACCAGAATTTCGAGAAGGATAAATTAGATAAAAATTAGGTAAACTAGCTGTTATCAGTGTGAACATTTTAAAAGAAGTTTTATAAATGAATAAATTTGAAAACTTTTAACCAAAAATAATAAATATGTGCAATAAATAAATAAATATTTACATAAGTGCAGTGCAAAAAAATTCCTAGGAAATTTTAATTTACTTTACCTCAATTTACTTAAACTCGCAGACGGCGTTAGTATCAAATCGACACTTAAGTAAAATTGGCTCTAAGACCTTAAACTTTTAAATAATATAGTAAGATATTATTACTTTTAGTAATAACAAACATTTAAACATTTTTACATATATATATATATATTACTTATTTATTTTGGTACTACATCTCTATACAAGTGGCTAAAACTGCCAAATAATTATGGAAAAAATTATTTAAGAAAAAGTATTATAGAAACTGCGATTATAAAGAAAATAACTTAATTCGAAAAACCGAAATCCCAAAATAAGCAAAGATTTCAAAATAAATCTTTACAAGATAACTACCAAACATCCCACAGAGAAATCATTATTATACTTAATATATTATTAAACAATGAACTAACCCACTAAAAAAAAAGGAGAAATTTATATGTAAAAGTAAAGAAACAAATTGCAGGAATAATTATGCAGAAAAGCATGAAGTTTATAACTGTCATGAGAACATAGCCCACCCACATCAAACCAACTTTAAAATCTTGATCTAATAAAAAACACAATATTTGTATTAAAAGATACTTTATGTAGAATACATAAACTGTAAATAATTTGAAACTGTCAACGTATTTACTTGATATAAACGATAACAAAACGAAATACTTAAGCAGAACTCGAGGGAGTTGAAAGAAATTAAATGAAGCCAAAGCAAAAATTTTTAGATAAATTTAGTAAATGTTAAGTTAAACTTAAAGCGAGATAGTTTTGAATTAACCTCAAAAACCATATAAGAAAAATGCACTGCATACAAAATATGTTGGATTCGATTGATTAGGTGTCAAGAGTTAAATACAAAAATACAGAAAATAATATTTTTATTTAAAAGTATTGAACATGACATGATTATTTTTAAAATTATTATTGTGCATTTAATTAATAATTTGTTTGTTTACATATTAACAACTATAAGTTAACTAATTTCTTTATAACAAAATTATTTAAATTGAATTTAATTTTTATTTAAATTTGCCTCTTAAAACTATATAGTCAAATATAATGTTATTATTAAAATAAAATTAAAATTTTTAGAAAATTAAAATCTTATTTTAAATAATTAAAACTAATTATTATTTTCAAAGTAAAGTAATTTAAAAATTATTTTAAAAAAATGTATTTATTTAATTGTATTTTACTATTAAAATGTGTGAGTATATCGAAAAAAGGCTTGTGATGTTGATTTAAGTTTGAAATTGTAAGCGTTGGTTACACAAAAAAGCAGATTTTTTTTTTAAATTTTTTTAAAAATTAGTTTTTTAATATATATTATAAACAAAGAAAGAATTACTTTAACAAAAACAATAATTAGCAAATTTTTTAAATATTTAGCAAAAGTATAATCATAACAAAGGCTTTAGGTGTTATGTAAATACGTTTAAATTAATATGAAATAATAAAATAAAATATAAAAACAAATCGATTAACAAACTTCAACAAATTTAATAATGTTAATGTTTTTAAATGTCTAAAATAATGTGTAATAGGATTGGAGTAAACATTATTGATATATAATTAAGTTTACACAAAACAATTGCGGATTATGACATTTTGAAATGGACAATCCCAGAGCGCAGATAATTTGGTACAAAGCAAATACATTGGATGTATTTCATTTGATTGAAGGAATAAGAAGAAAATAATTTTTAGATATTAAGCAAACTGGTGACAGATTAATAATAAATATAAAAAATAAATAAATTAAAGAAAATAATTATGAATAAAATTTAAAAAAATTAATAAACGAAATATGATTCATGTGAAAAAGTAAAAAATTAAATTTAAATTCAATTAATATAAAACTTTATTAATTTAAACAAAAATACATATATGGGTTTATTTTTTCAACTATCTATCCCACTTTTTAATTCGCAGAAAAAAATAAATAAATTGAACAAATTGGCAGTAATGGAAATTATATTTAGTAAACCAAAAATAATTTATAAAATATTCGATGTTATAATATTCAAATCGCAATTATTAATTGTATGAAAAAATAAAACTAAATAGTTATTACTAAATAATTAAATTTATAAATGTATATGTTGATGGTATAACTACGAATAAAGAAAAAACAAACGCAACACAAATCGTTTTTCTTTTATTTGCACTTGTAATAGAAAACAGCAAAGGAAAATTGGTAAGTGAATAGCAGATAGAGAAAACTGATAAGGAATAAAATTAATAATATTTATATAATATATATAAATTACAAAAAATATATAAACAAACTTTTTCAGTATGAATCCCTAGGTACACAGCTCAAGTTGGAAAAATGTATAGATATGTAGAAGAAACAATACTAACATATTATATTAAACGAACGATACAAATGAAATACACCAAATTAACAATTCGTTCAATAATGTGTGTGACTGACACATAGATGGCGGCACTAATACTAAATAAATATTTTTTTTCGAAAGTGGCAACCTTTTTAGGCTTACTGTCAAAATCATATGTTAATCCGACCATTTGTTTACAAGTTACAGTGCTTTAAGTGACGCTACTTTTGAGTTTTCAAAAAAAAAATGAATTCAAAGCAATTCCGTGTGCTGATTTATCATTGTTTTTTAATGAAAAAAAACACTCTTCAATGCCAGGAATGGCTTGAAAAACATTATTCGGACTCTGCTCCATCAAAAAGAAGCATTTGTTATTGGTATGCCGAATTCAAACGTGATCGTACAGACACCGATGACATTCCATCTACTGGACGGCCAAATGACGCTGTTATTCCGGAAAACGTTGAAAAAACACTGAAAATCATTATGTCCGACCGTAAAATGAAAGTGAGGGAGATTGCTGACATTCTACAGATATCAGCAGACAGTGTACACACCATAATACACAAACATTTGGGTATGAAAAATGTGTTTTCCAACAACGAATCGATGATTTAAAGAGCTGTTTGGACATGTTTACGAGCAATAAGTCGGAGTTTTTGCGTCGGTACATCACGATGGATGAAACATGGATCCACCATTTCACTCCAGAGTCAAATCGGCAGTCTGCTGAGTGGCATGCAGCGGTAAAAGCCGCCCAAAGCGACCAAAGACGCAGCAGTTCGCTGGCAAGGTTATGGCGTCTGTATTTTGGGATGCGCATGGAATAATATTCATCGACTATCTCCAAAAGGGGAAGACCATCAACAGCGACTATTATATAGCGTTATTGGAGCGTTTGAAAGACGAAATCGCAAAGAAACGACCTCATATGACGAAGAAAACAGTTTTGTTCCGCCAAGACAATGCACCGTGTCACAAGTCGATGAAAACGATGGCAAAATTGAACGAATTGAGCTACGAATTGCTGCCGCACCCACCATATTCTCCAGATCTGGCCTCCAGCGACTACTGGCTCTTCGCAGACCTCAAAAAGATACTCCGTGGTAAGAGATTTGGCTCAAATGATGAAGTAATCGCCGAAACTAACGCCTATTTTGAAGGCAAAGAAAAATCGTTTTACAAAGGCGGTATCGAAAGATTGCAAAAGCGTTGGAATGATTGTATCTCCCTAAAAGGGGACTATATAAACGAATAAAAACGAATTTTGGCAAAAAAAATGTGTTTTAAATAGTTAGTCACACACATTATTGAACGATATTATTATATAACATATAACACTGTTATATAATATATATATTATAAATAATATACTTTGGAATCACATTTTAACTGCAGAGTGATCAGTGGAGTGGACACACTAATTTAAAGACACATTTTTGAAAACTAATTCAAAGTTCCCACGAAAACATTTAATTGAAAAAAATCTATTATATCTAATGTAAAATAGTCCGATATATTTTATTAAGATTTTCTTGTAAATGAATAAGTATAAAATACTGTGTGGCAACACTATTCAAAGATAAAGAGCAAATAAAACTTTTTTATGTTCCCAACCTTAAAGGTGAACAGATATTTTTATTTTTCTATACTGAACACTAGACCCCTCTTTTATATCACTGAAAAAGAAGAACTCAATAGAAAACCGTCTTCAAAAAGTATTTCGTAAGTATATGTAATGGTTATGTATGTTATGTAATGGATGGTTTCTGGTCATGGAGCGCCAGATAACAGACAGATTTATTCTAAATTTTAATACATATATATTAAAAAATAAATATATACGGAAAAAGTAAACCTGATTTTATAAAAAAAATTTAAAATATGTACAGATGTTAGCTTTAGCTGTATCGAATCTTAAACAGAATTTAAAATCTACATTTAGGTCTCATTTATATGATATGTATATAATATATAAATATATATAATATCATATAAAAATATATATAATACAATATATGAATATATATATTATAATATATTAGTATGTATAATATAATATATAAATATATACACTCTAATTAGAAGCATCAATGTGTAGAAGCTACTGTAAATATGGGAATTTGTAGTTTTTCACATATGAAAATGTGTCAATAATATTAAATAATTATGATTTAAATTATTATAAATAATAATCATAATGTACACCTATACTGTACAACACAATATAATTAAAAACAATGTAATAATCATTAATAATTATTTATTATTACAAAAACTTAATCTCTCCTAAATTACTTCACTACACTTACCTTATAGTATACATCCGGTACATATTGTTTATCTGATGATTCACGAACATAGCCAAGTTCAGGAGCATCCTTAGTTGGTATTAAGCAATTATCGCGCACTAAAGCCATACATTGTGCAGAAACTGCATATCCTTCCATATGCACTTGTTTAGTTTTATCTCCTATAACAAAGCAAATAAATACATTAATGTTATTAAAGACAATTATAGAATTAAAATTTTTAATCAAACCTGTAACACAAACTGTAACAAATTTTGAACCAAAATAACCACTTGAAGAATATTTGCAAGGATTTGGATGACGATTTTGAAGTTCACCAGCAGTTATACATTCTTGAGCTGTTAGGAAATGAGTCTCAATGCCACGCAATTGTTTAACAGTACCGTTTGCACTGTCTTCAGTAATAAGATCAGTAAATATCCATCCAATCTTAAATACAAATTAAAAATAAATTTATTTTTTAGTTTATTTCAATTTATTAACATGAAAAATTATAAATGATACAGACCTTCTTTAAACCTAACGCTGCAGCCACTTCCTCAACATCTTTAGCACCTTCGTCGTGTAGTACTTTAATAGAATCTTTAGTTGATTCTTGTGGTGGTTCATAAATAGCTGCAACTTTAGCGCGTATGCCTAATGGTACATCGGTATGTACCTCGTATGTACCATATAGATACCCCAAGCGTTGATGACCTGTTGCACGCCAGTAATTCAAAAAACGCTCCACTATTGTTGTATTTTCAAACATAACATTGTCAACGTGTCTATAAACTTGACGATTTAAAGTTATAGCTGACGGCTGACATTTGGAGCAGATTCCCTTTGGCCATGGTGGATGTTCACGACAGCCAGGTTTAATGCGACAATTAATATCATCCATCGCTACATATTTACCATCAATACCAGATTTTTGTTTACGTATATATGAGTTAAATGAAAGATGCTTAATTTTATGATCTTTTAAATAGGTTTCATCATATGGTTCCAGAGGAGAACAATGTAAGCAACGACCATTAGCATTATGATGGCATCTTAAATATTAATAAAAACAGTTACATTAATTAAAAAACTACATTAAAATAATGCATAAAAAATTTATGATATGGAATATAACAAAATTGAATAACCAAGTAGAACACATCTATAAATATAATAATAATTTATAAAATACAATAAAAATTAACTAAAAATATTAAAACATATATCGCATATAAATAAATTTAATATATTATATTAAGTAAACAACAATATTAAATAATTTTATATAATAAAAAATTTATAAAAATAAATTATTATACCAAAAGAATTGATAATAATTTTTATCATAACTAAATTACTCCTCCTACAGTCAAATTAAAATTAATACCTAAAACACAGTTTTTAATAAAATTAAGAACTGCGCTCATATATTAACACTTGTTTAAAATAATGGTATTAAAGTAATAATTTAAATAAAATAATTTAACTGTAATATAAAGAAATATAAAAAAAAGTAAAATTATATATTCAATATATATATATGTGATATATATAAAATATATACAGGGCGATGGACCTATATTAGTAGTCCAGTTTCTTATTTTTAGATAACTTTAAAATAAATTTTAGTGTTAACTCAAAAATAATAATAAAAATTATAAATTATATACACATATAATATATATGTGGTATATATAAATAATTTATCAACACAAATAAAATTAATGTTAACGCTAAATTATTAGACAAAAGTACAGTTGAAATTTAAAATTAAGAAATATAACTAACACAATATAAATAATAAATTTATAATAAATTATAATGTATTAAAAAAAATTTAGAAATAAAATAAATAATATAAACAACATGTTACAGTAATTATCAGAAGCATTCAAGTATATTATATGGAATAGGTACACAAAAATAAATAACAAAATAATTATAATTCAGGTAATTGAAATTATTTATATATAACATACCAGCATATAAATTAATATATATAACATACTGCATAATATAAATATATATCATATAAATAAACATAAATAAACATATAAATATATATATATAATATTATTATATAAATGTTTGTAATATAAATAGATATAATACAAATATATATATAATAAATATATTTAATATTATATAAATGTTTATAAAATATATTCATACAAATAATACATATGAAAAATAGATATATAAAGATATATAAAAATGAACTATATAGATGTTTATATAAAAAATAATAAAAAAAAGTATAAAGATATCGATTTAAATATACAAAAGGTATAAACTTTAAATATTACATTATCAAAAAACTTAATACAATTCAGATACACATTGTAGCTTAATATATACTGTTTAATTGTTAGTTAAATATAATCTTTATAAAGTTTATTTATAAGTAAACTTTAAAATACAAATATTTAAACAAAGTGTAAATATATATATCACTTTTAATTTTATAAAAGCATAACGACAACAAATATACATATACACTACATATATACTATATACGTATTGTATGTATAAATTGTATGCATGAACAAATATATAATGAAATATACATATAAATGGCGTTTTCGATTAGTAAATCTGGATTCAATCTATATTTACTCTCGATCTGTAAAAATTTGTTGCCTAATCGAACGTTTTTAGAGAACATTTAACATTTCTGTAAGCATTTACATTTTTTATAAACACATATGATGGATCAAATCAGACTCTATCTGTCAAGTCAGATAAAAGAGTTATTAATTTTAGGAAAATCTTGCTACTCTGGCAAAATATATAGATCTAATTTATTACAAATAATCTCAAGTGTTATACATTTTGCTCGAGATTTCGTAATCGAGAATAAAACAAAAGTTCACTATAAATACGGCAAAGGCAAAGGACACATCTAATATATAAATTATACGTAAGTCATTAATTATAAAAATATGATTAATATGATAACATATGAAATATGATTTTAAATTATAAAAAAAATACGTATACGTTTAAGTAGTAATGTGATATATATAGAGTGTATTGATTTTGACATATTTAAAAAATCAATTTACGTACAATTTGCTATCCCGCTCACGTTGAATAAGACCATCCATTTTTGCTAACAATAGATCGACCTCATCTTCAGTAATATTTACTGATGGTCTAAATTCTTTAGCACTTGTTGTCGGCACATCATCAGCTGTTGAGGTTTCAAAATCGTCAATAGCAACTGTACTAGTTCTCTACATTAAAATTGAAATTAAAAAATAAAGATTTAGTTATTTTATTTCGTTACCCTCATGGAGTTGCCAGCCATTTGTTTTAAGTAAACCATATCGCCATGTTTGAGAATTGCCCCAACCTTCTGTGGTGTATTTATATGCAACTATAAGATGAATATTGATAAAAAAAAAAGTAATTAATAAAATACAATTAAATTAATTAAAAATGAGGAACTAACCTCAGTAATAAAATTTCGTTCTCTAAATATACCAAATCCATCAACTTTAAGTTTCTTCTGTATAATATCAAAGAATTCCCTGATATTTGAATTTGGAGATACTTCAATACGTTTAATTCCTTCAGCAGATTGGACACGTACAAGCTGAAATATAAAATAAAATTTATAAATCAATATTTATATATAAATGTGAACAGTTATTAAATAAATGTTATAGTAGAAAGTTTACAATTCTTTTTTTCACAGAAGTCATTCTATTTTCCCTCTGCTGTACTTTGTTTAAGTGTATTTTAAGTAAGTTTTTATTTGGCAAATGTACAATTTTATTAGACACAAAATAATTATTGCCAAAATAAACACGTGACACCATGTTTTGTAATAATATAATAGGAAATAAAATAAATAAAAAATTAAATAAAAAAATAAATTAGAAACACATAATATATTAACTTTAAATGGTAATGATTCAGCTTCATAGAAACACAATAGTAATGATATGGTAGTTAACGAAATAATGAAATAATTTACAACTTAGCAGTTTTAACTACTAATTTTCATTATTATATATATTACATTTTTTTAACAATACCCTTACCGAACTTTTACATAATAGGAAGAAACGATGACGCGCAAAGGAGTATAAAAAATTTCGTTTCCGGTAAAAAAGTTGTTCTAATTCCATGCAAGCCATTTCTCGTTAGGGATTAAAGAATTTTATCAACTCAATAAAAACAAACTTCGATAGGCCAATTTTCGGGAATTGAAATAAATAAATTTATTGCATTTTTTTGAAGTAGCTTGAAGCTACTAAAAGCCGTAAGGCTTTTGTCTTATATTAATGCACTTGTTGCTATCATCAAAGCCAACAATAAACTAAATTATTTTCCGTTATAGCTTTTTTAATGCATTTTAGTTTAAAGGAAAATGCGCAATTCTTTCAATGAAAAGCAAAAAATTAAATTGATTTTGTTTACATTTTAAGAAACACGAAAAAAGTTTTCGAATTTTACACTAAAAAATGGAAAAAACTTATACAAGTAAATAAGTCGCAATACCAAAATATATTAATGGTATTCACGATGTCGAGTAACAAGTTCAATAACTGAGGACACAGTGATGATGGAAAGTGGCATCAAAATACATACATAAAAAAGGATTGTGTTTCTTAATTAAATTAGAGTGTAGGAAACCAACGCAACGGTAGTGCATTAACATCGAAAATATATTATGTAGTTCAGATGGATGTTTTTAAAATGGATAGATGTTTTTAAAATTAACCATGGTGATTTTATAAGCGTACTAAACAATTAAGAAATTTTCGTTGTTAGTTGTAGAGATGTTGGAGATATAGAAAGCTTGAAGTCGAAGACCAACTAGATTTAGCGTTTATCTCATCTACTGTCCTTTAAATGTCGTTTTAGCTTTAAAAATATAAAGAAACCACAACATGACATTTGTCGAGCATTACGTACTTCCGGCGAAATCCAGTCGTTTCAGAAGAAATTTAATTGCCTCTTGTTTTTTATTCAAAATAATAGTAAAAATTGCTTCGCCGTATGAAAAATACACAGAAGTCACAGGATGTCATTTCTGGAGAATAGCATAGATCCCGCGATATAGATTGTCATTTTAAAACAAAATTTTATTACCACCATTCATGCTTGTCCAAAGTATTTGTGAAAATTGTTTCACCGTATGACATTCCCATTTGTTAAAAAGTATCTATAATGATAATTACATCAAGTATAATCTGTTCATATTTTTCATAGGTTTTCATAGGTAAAAACACGTACATATACTGTTAGAGCAATATTTGCTTGTTAATTTTGTTTTTAATTTTCCAGTTATTGCGTCGAAACTATTTTAAAGTCGGTTTTGTTTTTTTTTAAGAATTTTAACTTTTAATGAGCGTTATTTTTAGTATATTTTTATAAGTATTTCGGCAAATTCACTTTTGCCTTCATCAGAAGAATTCCTAATATGTTATATAAACTAATAACAAATATACTAAAAATAACGCTCGAAATAAAAGTTACAATTCTTAAAAAAACAAAACCGACTTTAAAATTTGCATATGGTTGTGGTGACCCATGAAGATCTGCTGGTATAGCCATTTTTAAGAATGGTGAACGGCACTTGGTTGTCGAAATTGACGAATGGTTTTGGCACGCACACCCGACCGCTGTTATCTACTTGAACTGCATGAATTTGTCTGCATCATTTATAAATGTGTAGTTGTGACATAGCATCGTCGAAAAAGACTTTCAATAATATTTTGAATATTTTACTGCATTTAATACCATTTGAGTTTCAGTCACTCTGATCCGACATTTTTTTTGTCGTAGACCCAGCCGATTTTCAACTTACTTATTCTTATTTAATATGTTTGTAGAATTGCGGTTATTGGTCAAATATCTATTACATTCATGTAGACTCTACAAATTCTTGCTGTTGACTATTTCATTTCGACATAATGTATATATTCTGACAGCAACGATTTCAACGATTATGTTTAAGTGCCACACGATAAACAAGTATTTCCAATAGTTGTGTTACTGTTATATGTTTCTTAATTTTTTTGAGCTATTGTTGTTGTCATAAGTGTTTAAATGTGGAATAAGAAATTTTATATGCCAATTCTTTGATTCACAAACGATATTTAAACATATCCAACTGAGAATATGTTGTAGTTATTGTTAACACGGCTATAACTACTTGTGATTATTCCAACGTTCCATAATAAATCCAATATCAATAAAATACGACTTTAAGTTGTCTGCATGTCGAGGCATATATTTTTTTTACAAATTGTGGCAAGATTTTTGAAACTATGTTGATTTTTAGTACCCTTCCATGTACGTTAAATTCTTTTGTTAAAATAGAGTAATATCCCATTGTGATATGCGATCTCAATATCAATTCAAAAGCTTTCTTTGGCAATAGTTTGTCACGATAATATCTGCTTCAAACATCCTTTTGGGCTATATCAACAACAATTGATCTGAAAAAATAAAATAAATTTAAAATCTGAGCTTATTTATAATACTTAAAATATTACCTTTAGTTTTGCCGCTATATTAACACAGAAGTTAAGAGTTAATAGAGAAGATAAGATAATAATTTATTGTTTATCGTAATAATGTAGCACAAGCAATTAGACAACGAATTCGTCCGCTATAAGTCCATCGTTATCCCATCTACTTTTTTCAATTTATCACTTTTTATTCTCCAACATTTATGTGTAGAAGAGATTAAATGTTTTCCAAAATTAAAGATGATTGGCCGATATTCAGTTGAGTGATATGCAAAGAGCATTAATCTGACATAGTGTTAATATCTACATGCAGGTTTTGGTAACGAAACTGTTATGATTTGAAAGAATTAATCGTTTCCAAGTCAGCTTTTCCGATTATGATATTGGTAACCTATGCTGCAGAGATTAATAAATATCTTTAAAAGACCGCGAATATTTGTAACGGATTCTCGGTGTTGTTTTTTGTGTAAACAACGTTTTATCCCAACTGATGCCGCAGATCAGCCGTAATGTAAAATTAAGTAAAGTAATCAGGCTTAGTATAAGAATGTAAACAAATATATAAGCATATAGCTTGAAGTATATCAGTTAAGAAAAGAGATATCTCTATTGTGAGAAATAATGCTATTGTTGTTGTAGCTCACAGAGATCTATAAAACAAATAAAATGAAAAGACGTATACATGGTATAAAATGTAGATAGGTGATGGTAGAGTGAGACGGCAAGAGACTATTTAGGTGTAAGAATGTATTGAGGGTAAGGAATTATATTTTATTGCTATTCATTTTGCATATGGACGGGAACAAAAATGAATTCTAAAAATGAACTAAAAAAATAAAAACGCGTTAACATTACAAACCTTTAATATTGAAAAGCTATATAAGAGTACAGTTTCGTTATTAAATGTTGGTCAGTGTGTTTAAAATTATGTAGTACTACTAACTAAAGCTAAAGATTAGCCTGTTTAATTATTAAAGGTAGAATAATGTGTAATGATAACTAGTTTGGTAACAGGCAAAAATAAGACTATTTTTTGTACATTAAGATACTATTGAAATCCAAAAAATTACATATAATAAAATAAGTAAATTTTAGAAAGTAAAAATAATCTTTACTTAGAAACTAATCTAACAATCGTCCCTATTTATTTCACACTTTCTTTAACTGACCATATTCTAACCCAAACAAAATCTCCCTGGTCTTAATGTAAATCTCTTAACTTTTCGTAATGCATTATTTTTCTCCTTACAGAAGCTATCGACATTATCCTAAATCACAGTGACTATATCGACGGTTCAAAAAACATATTTTAACAAAATTACTTATGTATTAGCGCTAATATACTATTTTGCTACCAAAATATGGATTGAAGACCGTTTACCGAAAATGTTTGATTAACATTTCCAAAATGAAGGAACCCAAAATATTATCGTGCTGACGATCGATAAGATCAATACATTATACCAAAACTACATAATAATAGCACTTGTAATTTTACTAGCAAACAATGGACCTAAAATGTTTAATCAATACTTCTAAAATACAAAAAACAAATAATCTGAAACGACATTCTATTGCCGACTTATAAGAACAATGCCACGTACGAAAAATGACTTAGAAACCTATATAGAAATGTTTAAGTGCTACAGAAATTTTACTAGCAAGCAGTGGACTGAAGACCGTTACTCGAAAATGTTTAATCAATACTTCTAAAATACAAAAATAAATAACCTTAAACGATATTCTTTTGAATTTTGACTTACAACACAATGACATGTAGCAAGAATTACTAGAAAACCTATATAGAAACCTTAAAGTCCTGTTGAAAATATGGATTATATATTAGTGCAGCTACTATAACAACAAATATATTCATATCGAAAATACTTATTATGATATGAAAATAAAGATGATATGACATTCTAGACCCAAAATTAACTAATTCAGTGTTCACATCGAAGTTGGTTCTCTTCCTATCCAATTTCACAATGGCTGGGTTTACGATTATTGAAAAATGTTTTAAATTTAAAAAATTAAAACTATAAAATATAATGCAATAATAATGTTGCGCATTTAAGCTGTGAAAATATTTATTCAGTTGGTTTGCTTTAGTTCTGAAGAAATCAATCTATTCCATTGACTTGACCACAGCACTTTTAATTGCTTATAACTGTGCAAGCAGGTTTTAATTACAAACGCAAAAATAAACATATTTCAATATTAAGAAATTTGTTTTTTTCTCAAATTCCATTGAATTCATTAAAATTAACGCTAAAAAAAAATATAACATAACGTTATGAGTACCATTCGCCAGCACTCCAATGTAAACAAATCAATCTAAGCACTTGTGTGAAGCTGCGGGCTTGGTTGGGGTCGAGTTTAAGGCACGCAACAACAAAAGTAGATCATTTTTTGCATTTTTATGCGTTTTCATCCTTTTTGCTTTACTATCATTGATATTTACAATAACAACACACAGTGACGCTAACAGCCGGCAATTGTCAGACAATTGCAGCCGGCAGTGGCCTTGCGTACAACAGGCGCTCACATCCACATTTATTGCCATAAAAAACAATTTATATTTTTTTCTAAACATTAAACCATATTTTAGGCAACTAATTGTTTTTTATGGAGAAAACCTGAAATTTGAGTTTGTTTTTTAAGCACGTTTACTTACAATTTTATCGCTTTGTTGGGACATTGCACTTTTGTTGTTGTCAAATTTGAGTTTCTAAATATTCAGAATTTGGAAATGATTTTCGTGAAATTATCCACGTCACTCTATGCAGCTTAGAACTTTTTCTAAAATAAACACACTTTAATATTGCTTTTAAATTAAATATAATTGATTATCACTTACATCGACGCAATAATACACGTAAACAAATAATAGTACCGACCATAAAAAAAACTAAGGGCACACAAATATTGCAAATCACCGGCACCAAAATCTTAACTGTCAAATTGAGTGTGTTCAGTGTACGCGCTGTATCAATAATTTCTTCAAACATTTTTCAAAAAGAATCGTCAATCAAATTTAATTTAGTGAATATTGATCCAAAATTATATATCAATTGGATTACTTATCAATTTAGTATTAATCCTTTGTTTCGAAATAAAACATTTATTACATGTTACTCAAGTAATTAATATATTTTTTTAAAAATTTTGTTTGCTCTAGCGGAGAGTAGAATAAACTGTGACTATTGGTAGCCTTAATTTAAATGACAGCAATGCTGCTTTGTTAAACAGATGTTGAACAAAAACATAGAATTGTCTATGTATTTATTGTTTACTTTAGTAAGAGTTAACAGCTGAACTAAAGTGGAAAGAATAATTTCAGTACCATTTTTTGTTTTCGAATTTATTACTATTAATATATTACTCTTTTTATTTTAATATTGTATGCAAACATTAAACCATTTTTAATAGCATATCTTTGTATATTCTTAGTAAACATTTTGATAGCCTTAAAGCGAAATAATTTCTGAAAAGATGAACAGAACTTTTCATTTTTATTTCTTAAAGGGAAATTAGTTTCCTTTTATATTTTGTTTTGATTTCATAGTCTTTGGAATAACTAATAAATATAAGAAGCAAAATGGAGATGTAAATCAAAACCTTATCCTTCAACTTTTATACAAACGACCTTTTGAAACGATGGAATATGAAACAATATATCAAAAAGAGAATGCATTATTTAGTTTTTATTATTGTACTTATATGTGTCAGATCTTTGCCCCTTTTATTCATCCAACGATTTCTCTTTGTTATTTTCAGTAAAACACGAAGTAGTACTACATATACAGATTTAGTAGGCGTACGTTGGGGCTTTTGAAAGTCACCAATTAATTGAAGTACCAAGATTTCTATAAATTATCTTTAAGCTTTGCAGTGTTGTGAATGGTGGATTATTGAACATAATTCTGTCCCTCATAAAAAGTTTTCTTTATCAATTCTCGTCACTCTACCGTTCTGTAGGGTTTACTGCGTATTTATAATATGCAGTCATTAATATGCAATCATTAAAAAATAAAAAAAAAACAAAAAGAAAGAAATAAAACCAATTACTTCACTCGGCGTCATGATTTCAAATGCTAATACGTTTTGAGCTGCTTTCGATTAACTTCTACAAAGTTAATATTTTCTTTTCTTTTTCTTTTCGAAGACAAAGCATGATTGAAAGTTTTATTGCTAATCAATTTAAAATAAACACAAATTAAAATAAATGAATTTTCCTACTTTTAGCTTTACTCAAAGTTTTTTAAAATTATATCATAATTTGCGTCAGCTGCTATTTTCGCTTCAGTTTATAGAATTTCGAATGGAGATAGTCTCTCTTGGATCATCATACTTTTCTAGTATGTCTTAATCAATTTTAAATTTGAAAAGCTTCTTTCCGTCGGAGCTATACTGACTAGAACTGTGAACATGAATCTGGTTACTATATAAACATTCGGAAATATTTCGAATATGGTTAATGCCATTATCAAATCAAATTGTTCAAAATATTTATTAAGTGCTTAGAATCCACAGTCGGTAACTTTTTGCGAGGCCCCTGGGGCGCGAGGCCGTCGGCGGTCGCCGACATCGGTGACGCCTAGCGACGCCACTGTATATATATATATATATATATTACTTAATCTCCGGAAATCAGAGAGAGTGCTAGGCAAAAGTGTTTCGAAATCAGCTTATATATACATATATATATATATATATATATATATATATATATATATAAATAGTTTATATATATATAAATAGTATATATATATGTATATGGTTTTAGTGCGAGTTTCAACTTTACCTTACAATTTCTTAAACAATATAATTCTATGCAAGTTAATATTATTATCAATTCCTGCATCTTCTATTGGAGCATAGGGCCTTAATAACGTACTTCCACATGGTTCTGTTGTCACCAAAATCTTCAGCTCGTTCCATGTTTATCCGGACCCACGATTTTCACTTGCAATGTTTTTCTCCATGTGTTGTTAAGACGTCCCACTTTACGGCTGTCTTGAGGTCCAAAAAAAAGAGTTATTCGACAAATTGTTAGCAATAATTTCAAAAATATCAACAAATTTCTATTTCCTTTAATAGAAATGAGTGACTAGTATTTCAATAAAACAAAATCTGTTTGGATTTCTTGGTTTCGACATGGTTAATATGTTAAGCACATTTGAATTAAGAATTAAGCACATTTCAAAAGAATTTCATTGCGGATATACCTAGAACAGGTATAACGCTTACAATGATTTATGAGGTCAACTGCATTTATAGCTTAATTTTCTTATCATTCGTACCGGTATAATGCGCAGATCAACTTTCCATTGGAATAAATTCCGCATATACAAATAGAAGCACTGTATGACTTTCTCCTGTGTAAGAAGCGAGGACGAAGTTAAACCTCTTTCTGTTCTGTACGTTATAGCATATGGATAAAAATACTAACCACATTTAGACATTTAGTGAAGCCAATTGCACCTAAATGACTCCAGGTTTCAACTGCAAGAACCATTACGGTCCCCTACTGAGCACATTTGAATGTGCAAGACAACAAAGTATTGCGGGTAACTGTATTCCATGGTACTAGATTGACACCTTCTATTGAGGGCAGTAAATGACACACACTTAATACTAAATGTGGAGGCGTGAAATAAATTTTAGATGACTTTTACTACCGAAAAGTAGTAGAATAGATAACATATATAGTTTTCATGAGACATTCGAGCTTTAGAAATTCGCGGTACCCTTTGAACACAGTCTGTTATATATTTTTTGATATCTGACTAGTTGTCATTAGTGGGACATAATACGAGTATATATTGGTACATAAATAAAAATGAAATTCACTTTATATATATTTTTAAGCAAATAAATATATATGTTAAATTCTTCAAGTAAGGTTAGTTTAAGTAAAGTTAGTTCAAGAAATCTTGACATTACTTTCTAAATATAATTTTTCTTTTTCTTTTGACTTTTTAAAATACAATTTTTTTCTCTAGATGCTTGTCTGATTTTCAATAATTTAGAAGAATTTAAAGCAACCACTTAAGATAATAGAGAACTGACACCATATAGTACACCTGAAAGAATATATTAAAAATAAATTTCCAGACGACAAAAATATTCTCTTCCCTTTCGAAAAAAAAAGAAAACATTGGAAAATAAAAAACAACTGAAGGTGCATAGAACTTCAAAATTCAATGGTTGGCAATATTGTAAAGAGATGACATGGTCTATAATATCTTTGACTTGTATAAACGACTCAGTATTTGAAATATATGTATTCTTATCTATAGTCTTTTTTTCCTATTTGAACCATAGAGATCTTAGAGATTGTGAGCACAACCTTAAAGATCTAATTTTAAAATCTAGGTCTGGTCGTTATGTCTCTTATTATAATATTTAAAATATACACAATTTTTTCCACCAGTCCTTATTCTTCTGTAAAACAAGTGATCATTTTGACTTCGACTCATTTTAAGACCTTGTTATGACTTCTTGTCTGACTTTTTTTTATGAAAACCTCCGGAATCATCTTTTTATATGTGAGGAAGGGTACTTTCGAACGAACTACCACACGCAAACACAATCTGTAAAAAGTAAGCTAGGTAGATTCAGTTTGGCAGTTATTTGGCTTGTATGAGTAATAATAAGCCTGCTCGGTAAACTTTTTGTAATAGATTTTATGTTAAGCGGCAGTCAAATAGACCAACTTTACGTTAAAAAAATGGCGTAGAGCAGAACACTCAAGACTGTGTTTACCTTATTGGACGACATCAGCTCACAACCCAAGTCGATTGAAGAACTTGTTCAATGAGATCAAAACCGAAGATGATGATGATGATAATGATGATGTTAATGATGATGATGACTTTATATCTAATAATCATAGTAGCCTCTGAATTGTATTTAAGATCAGAAAAAATTGATGGACTGGCATTAAACAATTTGGATTGGCAACAAAAATAGTACTATATCTCTAGTTCTATAGTTATATTTGACAAAGTACATTGATGAAAAGTACATTAATGAATATTTTATAAATACTGACCATAATAACTATTAACCTATGAATTTCTTTGCCAATCTTAAAATTAGTTTATTTGTTCCAATTAAAGTAGAGAAACCAATTACCGTAGTGACCTTCGAATAAAAATGTGCTTTTAAAATTTTCTTTTATATATAAAAGAAAACCATTAAGTGTACTTGATTCAGGTGTCCCGGTTACTAGCCAGAACGACACTAAACTGGAGTAATAAATTTTATTAAATAGAAAATTCGTTTTTCTTTTAACAAAAATCATAAGAAATATATAATTGCGCATTTGTGCCACTCAATGGGTTTGTAAATTTAATTTATTGAATTAATTGACACGCAAATTGGCAAAATAATGACACTTTTTAATTTTGGAAATTTTGGATATCAATTATTGGAGTTCGTTTAAATTTGGGTCAATATTGGGGCTGCGTGAGTCCTCCGCCAATGACGCAGACTATAAATATAATTATTAGACCTTAGCCTCACTTAACACAAAACTGGGTTAATTGCAATATTTTCAATAACATACACCTTTATATACAATATAACCATATTTTATATTATATGTACATATGTATATAATATTATGTAAATTGAATGTGCATACCCCACACATAATGGCAGTGGTAATAAAATTCAAAATGGCGTAGATACTTTTCAATTGAATTTATGGTTGCAAAAGTAAATAGCAAAGGAATTTGTATGCAAATAAATTCAATTTGTGTCACATAATGCAATACAAACGTCTCTCCACCCTTTACCCTTCCTACTCCAACGCCGAGAACAATGGACAGGATAGCGGGATGAAATGGTCACACATAGAAATGTCAGCCCTTTAGTGCTCCACAAATCGTTTCATTTGGTTTTGATTAAAAGTGATTTGTTGCAAGTTGTCAGTGGCAAGTTGTGATGATGCCGAGATTGCAGCCAAGGCACGTACACTGTCACCATAAACGCACCAGGGCAGACACTGAATCTTCAACCACAAGGTCAGATATTATTTACTGACCATTTTGTGGCCAATTATGCTGAGTCACAGTGAAATTGCAACATTACAAGGAGTAACTAACTGTTTTAATGGTGGTGAT